AGAATGTATGGTATTGTAAATAATTTTATATGAATATAAAGAGTTTATTTGAATCAGCTAAATGCAGTCAACTGTGAGAGCTTCTGATTTATTTTTCACCAACAGAGAAATTAAAATTCTCTAACAGGTTATGGGCCCAGAGCTTACTAAGGACTGCATTGTAATTTAAAGCTGGAAGAAATTGCCTGTGTTTAGAAAGTATAAGAACAAGGCAGAAATAGCAGAATGGCTGCAATGGAATTTAAGGAAAGCTCTGTGCCTCGTTTAGGCCAAAAGAATTATATTATATGGGCTGCGAAGATGGAATGTTTGCTGAAAGCAAAAGAGCTGTGGTATATTGTAGAAAATCCCCCACAAGTATTTGCAGCTGTTGATCAGAAAAGCCATGATCAAGCCATGGCTTATCTCATCTTGAATTTAGATGATGATCAGTTTCTAAATGTTGCAAATCTAAAGACTGCAAAGGAAATTTGGCTGAAGTTGAGAGCTGTGCACGTGAATGTTTCTGCATGCAATTGTCAAGAAAACTTTACAGAGCCTGTTTGCAACCAGGTGAATCTGTGGAACAGCATTTAAATGAAATGCAAAGTTTATTTTTGGACTTAGAACAACGTGGGATTAAATTCCCTGAGTCACAGAAAGTTTTATTGGTGTTGAACAATTTAGATAAAACCTGGGACACAGTTTCTGCTATATTTGAGTGTAAAGAAGAGAAAGACTTAAATTTTGAGGCTTTAAAGGCATGTTTGCTTAATGAAGAAGAAAAGCACAATTTCAGGAGTAGCCACCAGGAGGAGAAATTCCTGAGGACGGGGTCCAGACTGCAAGTCTCTGGAGGAGAAGGAACAAAGAGCAGATGGGACCAAATAGCAACAAAAGAGTGATTTTGCAGACAGAGAGTACTGCAAGAAAAGAATTGCTACATTTGTGGAGCGAGCACACATCTGAAAAGGAACTGTTTACAGAGGAACAATTTGCAGAACAGGACCTTTGTGCATGCAAAGAAGACTAATTTGCAAAAGGAACATTTTGGTGTTGCAAAAGTTTGCTATAGCAACCACAGAGACAAGTGGCTAATAGATAGTGGGGTAAGTCAAACAATTGTTAATGACTCTGAATTATTTTGCAGGTTTGTTCCAGTAGCACAAGAAAGTGAGAGTATAAGATTAGCACTGGCATTGGCAGCGGCATATAAGCATAAAATCTGGCACTTTGATATCACAACTGCATTCCTCAATGCTGAGTTAGAGGAAGAAATTTATATGATCCAAGCACCAGGGTATGAAATTGCAAC